TGGAAAACAAGTTAACCAAAAGAGAGGGGATGAAAAAAGGTGGAAAATATAGAACTTGGACTAGGACACTTCTTCTTGGGACTCGGCTGGGAGGACACTTCTTTTTGGGACGCAGCTGAACACACTTCTTCTTGGGACTCGGCTGAGGACACTTCTTCTTGGCGCTCAGCTGAGGACAGCTGGATGAGGAGAGGCTGATAGAGGGCTGATGTAGCTGCCCGGCACTGAGGAGGTCCCTGATGTTTTTATCTGGTTGGAGGACTGTTGAAGACCTACCTGAACAAAGATGATCTCAACTTCGCACTTCAAATATTTAAACCATAAACATAACCATAAACAAACCAAAAACCATAAACGTATTAGATAAGTAATTCCCAACAATTCCTTTTTAAAGATAATTAAATATTGAATGGCAATGTAATTTTAAATTCCATCCATCTGAATCATGCCTTCACAACCAATTATATAGTTCATTTATTTTTGTAAATATAATGTATATAACATTCTTTCTTATATCATTTGTAAATAAACATAATTTGTACATAAAAGTTATTTTAATCATGCCACCTATTGATATCATTATAAGCACAGGTAATGTTTGGTAATTAGAGAACAGATAAACACACAACAAGCCTTTGTGAGAAGTAATCCAATAAAGTAATCTAGGACCAATATGTCAAATGACATAATTTGTTTAGTTAATATTTTATAAATTAATTCTGGATAATTATCATCAATGATTACCAGTGGCATCCCGTATATAAAAATTTATATAAACCAATTTGATACGTAGCACTTATAATCTTGTGTCAGTTCGCCATAAACCTTTGATCTACAACTGTTTCAGTTTTGAACGTCCTCTTGTCTGATCGTGATCACACCTGACGATTTGAGGTCCTCTAACTCTTTTCATAAAGTCAATTTCCCCTTTATTCCATTCTCAAACGACTCAACTATTTATTTGATTAGTATATTAGGATCCGTTCTTTTGACATGTTCATTAAAATTTAGACTAATTTCCTAACAACGCTGGGAAAATCTACGATTTTTTTTTTATTTTCGTAATCATTATTATTTTATTATTGTGCCGTCGTTATCGCTAATCGCTGTATTAAAGTTAGTTCTGAAGATGGTCAACAAGTATGCCTAAAACGTTATTTGGCCATTGGATTGAAAAAAAAATGATTCTTTTACAATTACCAGGTCTAATCTTCTTTACATTTGTTATTTTCTATAACAAAAAATACCACTACAATGCTATCATATTTCTTTTCGACGGACATCTGATCTTCACGCAGCAAAGAATAATTACAAAACACAGAGTAGACTCATACACACTACTTATGTTTCTTACTCCATATCATTTACATTATCTTTGTCATTGTAAATAACTTCTTTGTTTTCTCCTTCCGCTTTGTTTTGTTAAAATATCATGAATCCGTGGTTAGGTTCTTAAGATCCGTTGAGGTTCTTCAGATCGGCTGTATATCGTATAATAATTTCGAAATAAATGGAATTCTGAAGTCTCACTGATTAACCTATTCTAGGTAGTTAGCTTGGTAGCTAACGGAACAGTTATTCCGCATAGTGCATCACAAAGTTACCCAAGGGAAGTCAATAGACATCTAGGATGCACATCCCCGTCGGGAAACAGCGCTCATACATTGTGTAAGGGCCTCAGCTCGACTAATCCTCCATCACCTTGTGCCTTCAATAATTCAGCTGAATTACTCCCACAACCTCTACCGCAAACCTTTGGCTACCACCAGGATCTGTAGCTCCTTGAGTTGAGCCAAATATCTTTTGCAAGGATTTTGATATCGTGGGTCAACAAAGGAAAAACAAAGGAAAGAAAAAAGAAATTGTTTTCTTCGTTGATTGGACAGTAAAAAAAAAGAATGAAAGATTGGAAGACCTTGTAATCGTCTGACAGGCGATGACTAGTTGAACCGAATTACGCACAAATCCAAGAATCCTCTTGTGCTATCTGCCCTAGAATATGACATTAAAGTGTACAAGTTTTTTATGAGATTCATATTTATATATAGTCGTGGTCATCACCAGAACCTTACTCATCACCCAAATCCCTTTGTACAATCTCTATAAAGCACAACCCATCCCTACAACCCCCCTCGTAGGTTAAAGCGGCAGTGGCCCCGAGACCTTTTGTATCGAATATTTTAGAGTTCAGGCAATGGCCATATTGTTTGAGACTCAAGTTGTGAGTGTCTGTACCACTCTTAATCATCCACCGCTGGTTTTAAATACCCGTGAAGTGGTTGAGGGAGAAGCGCAGAGATTTCCTAAGCCTCGATTTTCCCTCCACATGTGGGGGAATAAGATTGGTTCGGAGTTTCCCTGGCTGATTGTAAATAGTGTATATAGGTATGCCTGTATCTAAGTTGTTTATTTTACTTTTATTTTTATTTTTACTTACTTATGTATATATATATATATATATATATATATATATATATATATATATATATATATATATATATATATATATATTTCTTAACCTCCTTAGAATATTTTATTTTGTTCTTATGTATATGAATTATTTTGTTATTACTTGATTTATTTATATTTCTGTAAATACGGTGTGAATGTACTCTCTGAACTCTATTATAAGTGTCCTTAACAGAGACAGATTGTAATATTACTCAAGAAAAAAAAAGTGGTCATAGAAATTGCATTACCCAGAAAAAATTGTATTAAATTTTATATTATTTACCAGATTATTGAAAACAATCACACCATTGTTTTTCCTCCTCTAAGTTCCTTGATTTTGCTGCATTGTGACCTAAGCTTTTTTTTTATCAAAACTATGACTGCCGTTGATTGGTGGTACCCTTTTTGCTTCACTTTTTCCGTGGAAATTCCTTCACTTCGTTTAACGTCACAAATTTAATATTTTCTGACGAGGACAGTTTTTTATTTAAACTGTTCATAATTACAGCTTTCATCCTGCATTAGTTAAAACTGAACTGAGAAACATCGTTTAAGTTTTCTGGTAACCTAAATTAGATAATAAAAAAAAATGTTATAAATCCAACGTTATCAACATAAAAAAAAAATAGTTATATGACTACTATGATTAGTTATATAACGCATATCTTTCAAATTCGCAAATACATAAAGTGCGGCACCCGATTTTAACTATATATGTTCTTTTGAGCTTCCCAATTGTGTATTTGAGTGTATTTCAAATTTTTAGTTGTCGATGAAGATTACGTCGTTACAATAACTACGCGACAGTTCCCTTATATCTTAAGGGTTACCTTTTGCAAGAATAATTAGTCAATGAAAAGTGGTGGGACGGAGTTACGCCACGGCTACCTCATAGTCCATCTATTATTTATTAACTTGTAATAGTGTTTCCATCTTCAAAAGTTTCAACCAAGAAATATCTTTCCTTTTTTTCTCTCACCCAGTGTTCTTTGAACAGGTATTTAGTTTAAAACGTATTTTATCAGCTTTTGTACATGTTTATAAAAAATATTTGGAGAACACTCTTGGAGCTTCCAGTTTAGCAGCCTTATAATGGACCGATATCACACCTCTGAGACGTACTGTTATTTCAAGCTTCTAGCTAAATATGAACCTTTTTCTATTATTTGAAAATTTCTTCATCAATTGAATTCTATTGAAACTCAAATTTTAGCAATTTATTTTCCATGCTAGAAATCAATTCAGGTTTTCTTACTTCAATTACATCCCAAACTCTTCAATCGCACGTCAAAAGTCTTAAAGAAACAAATTCCTATAAATCCCATCATATTAACCTTAACCTTCGTCGTAAACCTATCACTTCATATCCTTCAGTATCTTTTAACAACCCCCACTTATTCCTGTAGAACAAATCCGATATCTACTACTCCATCTGGACAAACTTCTAACTTTGGATCCTCATACTAATCTAAAAAGACCAGAAACCGCTCGACGTTTCCGATTTCAGTGCTTACTATACAAACCCTCTTAGCTCCCTATTAACTGCAAAAGATTCATATACATGACTATAACAAATCCTATTTGGAGAAATGGAGTTGAGCTTTGGGGCTTCACCAAACCATCGAATTCCTCTCGTATCCAATCCTTATAATCCAAATTTTTTCTTGAAATCCTCAATGTTCCTTACTTTTTCGCCAGTAAAATAATCCATACTGATTTTCTGTTATGTGCTCGAATAGGCCAAACCCAGATACGTATCCTTCCATAATAATAAACTTCTGAATCATCCGAACCCTCTTGTTTTTAACCTTACTCTTCGATTCCTGGTAATCCTTCGAGGCGTCTGTGATAAAGATGTCCTCGGGACGTTGTACATGTAAAATTATCAATCCAAATTTTCTTGTATTTTTTAACTAAAACAGTTGTCAATTCCAATAAATATATTAATGATAAAAAAAAGGTTTTCTTACTTTAATCACGCAGGATACAGTATTATACTTATTAAAGCCAGATTGTTATCTATCTTTTGACAAATTATTTACAAATATTTTCCTGAGTTATGTGGATTAAGGTTTGAAGTGTGAAAGGGCCTAATATAGATCTATTTATACTGACTAAATTTGGATAGAATTAATTTTAACTACAAACCATCGAAATGTAATGATGAAGTTATACCCAAGGTTGAAGTTTTATTTTAGTACGTGTGTATTTATCGTAAACATTTTTAATGAAATATTTTACTCTTATCATTCCAAAATGTAGTCCTTCGTACGTCCTGACCATGTGATCCTTCCGAACAGATAAGTATCGTGCATAAAATATGTGCCATAAAAGTTCAAGTATTGATCCTCGGTCACCCTCGCCATAACTGGCCGAATTGAGGGATTCATGAGAGGTTATTGTTAAGTATTTCCGTTTAAAATGTGTTTGATTCATTCATTCATTGTTTAAATAAAATATTACTCTTTGCATAAACTCTGAATATATAATAATAATATGTAAATAATACACGCATTAAAAATATGGAAGATTTAATTTTAATTACATACCAAGAGCTGCAAAGGTTGAAGACACGTTATGTGCTGACACGTGTTCATTCGAGGTAAAAAAGAATTGTCTGAACACAGAAGAAGTGTATGATTGAGGCGTCCTTTCGACGTTTTCTCATTCTTCCAAATCAACATACTGCTTTAGTATTCTTCAGAAGGCATCTTAGAATAAAATTTTATATTTAGTATGAATAAATAAGGTATATTAGTATGAATGGGACAAGAAATGTCGAAATATCATTCTATTGCTTTTTATTGAAGAAGCGTAGAAACGGAAAATCAATAAAAAGCACCCCTTTTTAAGTTAAAAATGAAATTTTTATTATCTTGAAGGGTAAAATATTTCGATAAGTTAAAGTATATTTAGATTTATGTAAATGTTATGGTGTATGAAATGTTATGAATGGTAATGATGAATATACTCATGGTCGTATGAACAATTTTACATTCTTATCCTATTTGTGCCAAAGGTGACGTTCTGTTCTCTGTAACTGCTGTAAATAGTGTGCTACTATGAAAAATAACAGAGGGAAATAAAATATGAAATTATGTTAATAAATCATAATGAAATAAGGTTATTGTTATGCTCACTTGTAAAAAAAAAAAGTTAATTTTCACATGTCACCTTATCCACTAACAGTAGTGATATTTCTAATGAAAAAAAAATGTTTAAATCTGCTCATGATTAGATTTTTTTATATTATCAACTTCACACTTCCAAGCACCATTTATTTTGTCATTTCAGATTTATTTTTCCATTTTTAAGAACTTATTATTTAATTGAATGCTGTGAATCCGTTTTTTTCCTTGAAATTAAACATTAAAATTTTATTAAAAGCTACCCTCGTGATCTTATGTCGAAATTTTATTAGAGTGCTACCAGTAGGCAGTTTACAAGTATTTTGATGTCATTTCATTCCTCTGTTCGCATTTACTAGTTGTATTTAAATTTTAATACTGTTATAAAAAAACCATCCTTTATATTTAGGGGAAAATTTATTATGATTATGCTTTCTTTGATGTTTAAAGATGCATTATTTTTTTAGTATAATTTTTAATTATAATTGCTGAGTCATTATGATTTTAAATTGCCAGTGGATTTGGGAGGTTGTGAATATTTTAAAATAAAAAAAGTTAATAAAATGACAAATAATTAATGAAGAAAGGCAGATATTTAAAAACTGAAATAAAATGTAATAATAAATTAAACAAAATCATATTGATATAATATTATATTAAAATCACTAAATAATGTTAACATCTCACATACTTAGCTCTTTACAATATTTTATCAAATTAGATATAACTTTTTTCCGTTATGTCTATAATTTTAAAGGCTTTATTGATTCTTAATTGTTTTTATTATCTCACAAATTATTTTACTAATGCTTTAACATTTCGTATGTTATGCAGTTTATTTTCAATATCATTCTATCTATTATGTGTTCACTTAAAAAACTTAATTAACTCTTGCACACAAAATGTTGTAAAAAAATGAAAATCAATTAATCATTTGTTATCCTTTAAGGCAACAAAAAAACATATATATATATGGTCTTGAGACCTTACACTGAACAATCATCCAAGTATTACTGATCTGTATCTTTTATTCGTAATTTTCGGTCGTTGTTATGGGATAGTAGGCGTATTTACTACCTATACTTTTACAGTTATTAATTTCTTCTTATATATGTGTGTGTGTGTCTGCATATACGCGTTGCATGTATTTATATAAAGATATTGAGAGATTTAAATATATAGATAGAAGAGAGATAGATCGACGAGCTTTGTCATATACGAGGCAATCCCTACAAATTACCTGCCTGAAAGGACATATTTCTCTTGAGATGAATAGCAGTACCGTATATCATGGCTGATGAACGCTAAGAAGCTAGGGGCTTGTGGTATGAAGAGGACTAACAATACATGACATAACTCATGATCACCGTTAACAAAGCTCTAGCTGCATCCTCGTGCTTCACCTTTCAGTAATTCCTATATTTTTATTATAGAGAGAATGATCTAAATGTTTTGATGTGCTTGTAAAATACTAATACCGTTGAAGAAACCATTGTACGTTTTTTTAGAATGTTTTTTAGGTTGTCAAAAGCAATGTTTCAGCAACATGCTATTATGATCTTTATTAGATTATTGATCCATCTAACAATCTAGACCTTTAAAGTTCTTCAAGACTTACGAGAAATAAACTAATAGGCATCAAACCCATTTTTTTTATTTACTTGTATTATTATTGGGGGCGTTAAGGTGCCTGATTGGAGATTTCGTCGATGAAAGTGTGCCTTAAGAAAGGAGACAGTCTCTCGAAATTAAGTCGACCCCAGTTGTAAAAGATCTTGGCCAGTTCGTCGTTTTCTTCGTTCTATAAAATGTGGGATTCGATGATACTTATACATGGATAGCAGACATAGCTAACAATGTTCGTGTTAGATATGATAAAAAAATCTCAAAATTTTGGGACAATAAGTGTGATGCCGAAACGTAATAAAAATTGAGAAACAATTTGTTGGAAGAGTAAATTGATACTTAACTTTATACCTTAGATATTTTTCATACGTTCTACTGCAAAGCTTATTTCTTACGTTTTGGTTTTTAATATCTTGAAACTGTTACATCAACTAAAGATTTTTTTTTCTTATGGTATTCATGATATATAATTCTTTGGAAATAATAAATCATTGTTTAATAATTTGAAGCGTTTTTTGCATCTTAATAATAATTGACGTTTCGGTATTTTTTCTCATCATCAGAGCTATCTTCACTGATCACTTATATCAGTTTCGATATGTGATATTTTGTATTATTTTTTAAATTTAAAGTGTTATCACGTGAAATGTTATTTTTTGGGGTCTTAAAATTTCTACGGGATGCCTCTGGATAATTACCCAGAAATGTTTAATAAAAATTAATAATAAAAAATTAGTAAAATAAATTTGGATCTATAATATATTGATTGGTCCAGAATTAATTAACTGGATTTCTTTTCTCAAAGGCTGGTTTGTGTTTATCATGCTTTCTGTTGGTTTTCATTGGTTTTTAACTTCACCCTATTACTCTACAATAACTGGTAACACCCTAAAAGGAACCAGTTACTTAACCCGTTACTAGCCACGCCTTACTTTGAGTACAGACCTTCCCTAGAGCCCCTTGTCCTTATTTTACCTGTTCCCTACCCTTTACGTAGTTTTTGATATCAGAAGTCGGTTTCATTCAACTCTGTCTTCCGCAACCCATAATAATTTTAAAAACTTATTTGCCATGTTCAATACATAGCACATGAGCTACTAGATCACTAGATTAACAATTGGATATCTCCAGAATTTTGAAATAGGAAACATGATTGGGTCAAACCATTCCACAGATTAGTCTTTAAATAACTATAAATATAAAAAAATATATATAACCCTTGAAACATCAGAAAGAAGACCTACCCAGTAAGAAAGGATAAAGGATTCTTTTGAGCACATACCTACCAATTTTACGCTTTCATTTTTAGAGCCTGAGGCACACATAAACCCTGATGAAGGCGGATGATATGAATTCTTCCCTGCCCCGTTTCGAGGTTTTGATGTTGTTTGTCAAGGGAGTTTTTCCCCCTACGATATGGGCGGCAGTGCGCCCTCAGCCCATTTATTTCCACCAGGTAACGAGGTAAAAAAAAAAAATATATCCCAAGGGGCTTCCTCATCACACATACAGAGGCAGTCCCCCTCCGTCCGTTCGGTCCGTTGTGTTTTAGTGTGTGCCTCCTGGGCTTTGCCGGATCCCGTCCTTTAGGGGGTTCGGGTAATTACAGCTTTGGAGGTCCCGTCATCCCAACTAATAAATTCTTATTACGTCCGACCATCAACTGGTATATAAAAAGCATAAAATGTGTAGGTATATCTTTGGTTTATTTCAAGAAGTAGCTGAATACGCTTTTTATTGAGCTATAAACTACTTATTTTTAAATTTCGATTATACTAATCAATTGAAAATTACCATTTGAGTGCCTAAAAATAACACGAACTCTATTATTATACAATGGTATGAAAAAGTCTTCGAACAAACCAAATTTTTAAAAGATGATCTTGGGCAAGATACTATAATACGTATTAGTAGAAAAAGGCCTTTCCAGTGTCGATAAATAATAACTTTATTTCAAATTTCACCAAATTGTCGCCTCTTCAGTCATCTTTAGAAATAATCTGATTTTCCGTGTAATCCAAAATTTTTCATCTGAAAAAACATATACAAAAATCTTACAGAGGATTTACATTAGACATTAGCCCATTTTTGAAAACTTAATAATCTTAATTATTTGTTAAAGAATTAAAAAAAAAAAAAAAAAAAGAATGTAGAAGAAGAAAGAAAGAATTTTTGAAAAATATATATTATGAAATGTATATACGTATGTGCGTAGGGATGTATATGTGTATGTGTGTGTCTATATATATTATAATTGCAAATAAAATAATATTCTATAATTGATAGATTTAATTAATTTATATTAAAATAATAACATATGCTAATTTCAATTATATCATGTGCTCTCTACTTGGACAAATGACTAACATGGACATACCGTATAAAAAAAGAAAAGAACTTAATCACCGATACGCACTTCTTTCTAGGCTACTTGACAGATATTCTGAATTATCTGTGACTAATAAATTAACTATTCACGAAGCCCTCATTAAACCACTTGAGACATATGACATTGAGTTATGGGAAATAGTTAATACATCAAATATAAAAAGAATTCAATTGTTGCAGCCAAAAATTCTCTGGAAAAGATTTCAATTTTAGTCACGAATATTTAAATATTTTAATGTTGGAAAGCCTCTCCTCCTTAAAGGATTGGTCTCATTCGGTTGTGTTCTTTGACTAAGTGTGCATGTGGGTGCACTGCTATAAGCGAGTAAGTTTTTTTATATTTTGATTATATCTATAGTTGATTTGTGAATAATGTTTTTAAGGTCATTAAGATTTCAGAAATGGGCTAATGTCTAATGTAAATCCTCTGTAAGATTTTCGTATATGTTTTTTCAAATGAGAAATTTTGAATTATATGTAAAATCAGATTACCCCTAAAGAGGCGAAAATTTGGATAAATGTGAAGTTATTATTTATGGATA